TTCAGACCAGAGACGAACGGTACCCCCCATTGGCGCCATCGCGAATTCACAGACCACTGCTTCCTCCCAGGACGTCGACTGCGAGCCGAAGGGTGCACCGAGTGTGGCCGCCGGAAGTGTCGACGATTAGAGTTACATATGTAAACAATAATCAAGTTTCAAGCGCACTCGACCGATTGACTGGAATACTCGAGTTTCAAGTGCATCCAAGTATCCATAGCCGTTTCAGTTACCCGAGTCACTCGAGTATTATTATTTAGTAGCAAACAAATCGCGAGATATACAGGAACGTTCGTGTCGTTCCTAGCAGCTTTTAGAAAAAAACAAAAGTTTCGTCGTTTTTTATAACCGTTGGAATAACGTATCTCTGCAATAATTACCGTTTACAACGAGGCATCGATACGTATATTTTGTTTCGATAGATGGTCGAAGTGCGTCAGGATACAAATTAACCATTTACGTAATAGTCTCTGAACCGTCTTCGCGTGAAATACCAATAGAAAACCTATAATCGTACGGAACAACTATTACCGTAATATCTGTAATAATTCATCGGTACAACAATAACGGGGTATATGAAATCTTTATGCTAATGCGGGGTATTTGAACACGTAAAATATTTAGATATAAATTTTGCGCAAGTGTAGGAAAGCCCTCGATCGGTGCGTTCTGCTCGATCGTTGAATAATATTTAAATGATTTCGACTGAATGGCGGGGAAAATTAATGTTCCGCTTTTCCGTGAACAAAATAATTTTATCGGTCGTATAAATTCCAGTGTTACACACGCGGCTGGCTTGCCGACCGAAACAGAATATTAATGTTCGCGTTATAATATCATAAATATCGGGGTTAATATTAAAATTCCGTTTTGAATTTTGCGGGCATTTATTCGGCAAGCGGGCACGTAACCTATCCACGTCGAAAGAAGTATTAACTTTCGTGCCAACCGAACGACCGTTTCCCGTTACGAATGTACGTTTCGTTGCGCGATATTTGCCAGGCTCGTTCGAGAAATAAAATGCTTCGCGCGGAAAGATTCAGCCGAGTTCTGCCAAACAACGAGTCAGCTCGAACGAACAACTTTGTACTTTTAATCGTAGCCAGATACCATCGGATGAATTATTCACAAGTACTAAATTCCACGATGGAGAAAAAATAATGCCGTTCCGTAGACAATCGTGGTAAAAATTTTCTTTATAATTAGCATTACGTGGAGGACCGTTGTGATCGCGGATAATAATTTGACGCCTCAGCGAAAGGACCGTGACTCGAAAAGTTCGTCCCGAGTTGTGTTTGTTGCATGGCGGGAAAAGAAAGAGAAATACATGGGGATAATTTGAAAAGTTAGGGTTAAACCTTAAAGAATTCCTAGACAATGCAACGAAAGAAGAACATTGGACAAACAAACTGTTTACAAGGTTCGATAGACCTATCCTCTGCACGACGAGAATGCCCGGAATCCAAGAGCGAACGACTAAAGTGTTCGCGGTATTCGTCGAGCAAAACGAGTGGGAAAACCAAGCGATATGTTAATTTTCTACCAGTCACATCTGGACTGGCACAATCACGGCCTTTGGCCGCGGTCTGTATAATTGACAAATACCAGTGACGTAACGCGTGCCGCCGTTTGCGTTTTGCGACGTACGTACGCGTGCGTCCTCGAAAACTGAAATAGTTATGACTTGACGTCGCGATAAAGGAAAAAAAGAAGCTCTCAGGTAAGCGGCTCGACGGCGATAGCTTATATAATCTGACAGAAGCCGCAGGACGGCGGTTAGGCTTTCGAGACTACGGTCTGTCCCACTTTGCGTTTTGGCAGCGGCTTCGCGGTCGTTTAACCTTGCTTATCGCCGATCAAGTTCGACCAGCGGCTCCTTCGCCTCAATGGGATCTCTAACGCGCGATATCCGTCCACCTTTAAAGCTTCGCGCGACACGCATGACGCAACAATTCCCTACTCGAAGCAACAACCATGTTCTTCTCGAGTTTCGAGTCCCCGCTAATTCGCGATAGAGTGTCGGGAGTTCTTCGTGTTTCTGGCGTACTCGAGACTTTGCAGTACTCGGGCATCAAAAGCGTCGAGTGGCTATAATAGTCGAATGCCTAAAGAATCCGCGTTCCCAGACCACTCGACTACGTAAAGTAGGGTTCCTGAATTTAATAAGTTTAGTTTATAGGTCACCATCCTCCTCCGAACCGAACATTCACGTACACGGTGTTTTCGATCTAAGGAACGAATCAATGACCTGTCGCAACGTGGCCTTCGTACGACCTTGAGCACGAGAATTTATGTTGGCAGAACTCAACGTTCTGCGCTGACTCTACAGATTTTCGAAGCGTGGAATTCGAATCGAGATCATTCGAAGATCATGTTCTGTCGTATCGAAAAATATGCTCTTCGAAGTAATGATCTATCGATCTTGATATTAACACCGAATCAACAATTTTTATTCGTATAATAAAGAGAAATTGAAACTCTTGGAGCGACAGAATTAGGTTTCGCGCTCTATAGTGGATACCCTCGTAAATCGAGGATCAAATATCGATGTTCTTGTTCGAACCACACGAAAAGGAGATTTTTTAGCTCTCGAGACTGTGTTTCGGTCGATAACTCTATTTTAATCTTGTCTCGTCGAGGACGACAGACAACTGTCGGCCGTTTTATTAATATTTAAAAATACATCGTGGTATCAAGGAGCGAACATACGACCCATTAACCTTGCCTCGAATCGTGGTCCGACTGAAAACGCACGTATTCTTTAATCTGCAGAGAGGAGGCTCTTGAAATTCGACGGCACCTATCGCGAACAACCTTTTAACGACAATCAGAGTCTTTCAAACCACGGAGAAAGACGTAGATTCGTGGATCCGCGATATATTCGCACGAACGTTCCCACTGGTTCGATATTTCGAGCGCAAATATATCGTTTCCGGTTTCCGAGCTGAAACGACTCTTTGGCGAAAAATATCTTCGATCTTCCTCGACTCGCACATTAATTTGACAATAATAATAATAATATTTGTCCGTAATTAACGAGAGAACGATATAATGAGAATAATATGTATTTTCCAGTACGAAGTCGACTGATAAAGAAAAGCAACAAGATCCCCCGATGTGGAAAGTGAAAAATATTTTTTTCTCTCGGCGATGACACACGGTTAAAATAAATATTTAAACGGGAATTAGTAGGTGCAGTTAAAATGTAGGCTTAAGTGCATGACTCGTTATTTTCTCATTAACCGCGTGACGCGCGATGGTGGATTTTTCGGCCATGTTTCTGCTTTAAATTTGGCGACTGGCGACGAGACATTGGCGTTGTGTCATTCAGCGTCCTTGAATTATTTTTACATAATAATCGAGACGAAATTCCAGTTTCGATTATTTATTTCACTTATACCGCAAGTTATCGTGTTTTTTTTCGCTCGTATTGTTTATTATCGAATGATTCACGATTAACATGGAAACGATGAGCAATAAAATTTCTCCTAAATTTGAATAACAAGTAATACGTCAGAGCGTAAATGAATATTAATATTAATGCCTCTGAAGGTAGTTGTTTGCACGTTCGAAGTAAACGTGTACGTATTTGGAGCGAACACAAACATATCTCGAAAATATACGGTATTTATATAACTATGGCTTCCAGTCCCAAGTTTTTTGATAGCCTAACGAAAGAAAATCTTTGAGTCACTGTTCCAACAACTGCCTTTCTTCTAAAGAAATAATTGAATGACGAGACAATGTTGAACCAACAAATTCAATTATTTTTAATTAATTTCTAACCGTAATAACTATTCGCATTCTGTGCTCTTAATTGCTTAATAATAAATTTCGTCATTATCATTATATAAATTATTACTTTTCGAATTCCTTGCATTTCAGTTAAAACGTCTGTCGACGATAAATTTTTATTATTATGGTATCTAAAAATTATATAAAAAATACCCGGTTTGCTAACTTGATATATTCTGTTTTTTAATGTGCTAAAGTTACACATGAAATCCATATAGCTTTCGAAATAACCTACGAACGACAGGGACTGGCAAAATTGTATTCGAATAATGGATAACCATTATGACCAACACATAGCAATTTATTTATTCGCGATGTTCATTCGATCCATCGGTTAAATGCTTATCCGTTTCTTGCGAAATGGTTTATTCTATAATTTGAATTTTTATTTTTGTTTAACAAGTAATAAGAGCTTTTCCCATCTCTGACGCACTAAATTAGGGTCTGGTCGGGTTCAGATCAGGCGTTAAAGTTGTACCCACGTCGATGGACGATCAGGGATAAAAAAAAACAATGAAACAAATTCGTATAAACATGTGCTCTAGTTGACCTTGTTCTCGAGTTATAGTCATCTTTGTACTCTGGCAATTCTTAATCGCTGTCTGTGCTAGTAGAACCGATTCTACTGAACTTTTTTTATACAATGTTCGATAACTTCTTGTTTGCTTTAATAGAAGATTGAGGGGTCATTCTAACGTTAATTTCTTCAGTACTTTATTTATTCGCGTCAGCATGATGGTGCATTAAGGGGCAACGTTCCCATTTTGACGAAAATAAGGAGTTACGAACAAACACTTAAATAGAATCGGTTATACCGGTCTAGAAACACGGCTGCAACTCAGGATTAAGGTGAAATGGAGCACATGTTGGTAGAAAGCATTTTCATTGTTTTCGTGTTCTCGACGACCACCGAAGCGATAGACGATCTAGTCCGACCAGGTACGACCGGGACTTGGGTCAGGTATTAAAGGTACGCGTGAAAAGGACATTATTTATAGAACGATTCTATAGACGTTCGAACGTAATGTTGAAATATTTGAAAGGTCGGTCGGTAATGTAAACAGAAACGGCGTGTCGCGCGCGCGATGCCAGATACGCCACATGCATCGAACCGAAGTTCTTCCGTGGACCAGTCGAACGCGTGTTCGGATCCGATGAGTGAATCGGCCGAGAAAAGAACCTTGCCACACGGTGGCAATACTCACCTGAAGATCATGACAGCCGTTATCCCTGTGACTGGCAGCACGAATCACCCCTGCACGCCACCCCCACTCACTGATCTTATTCACCTTTAGCTTGGTGAAACCACTCACCGAGAGAAACCTCTTTCCCACGATCTCTTCGCGAAACTTGTACGCCATATTATGGATCGGCAACCGCGGCGTGTCGAATCCGCGAATTCGGATCGCCAGCCGGGTCTTCCAATCACCCTTTCTCCTCCTCTATCTATGTATCTACTTCTCCCTGTCACCCTCTTACTCCCACTATCTCAGTCGTTCTCTTTTCCTCTATTCCGATCCTCCGACGAGCGTGCCTCTCCCCCAAAAAAGAAAACCCCACGTAGCACTGAACCGCTGAGACGAAGAACCTGGAGCACCGATCACCACTTGGTTATTCGCCACCAAAACACCAAAACAGCACTCCGAGTACTCGGAGATCAGTTCTCCTCGTGATCACGACGGGCCGAGAAACAACAGGGCCATGAGGCGCGCACGATTCTCCTTTCTCTCCCTCTTCTTTCGACAGTCGGCCAGCGCCAGCACCAGCAGCAGCAGCACAGCCACTCCTTGCTCCTACGTGCACGTCTGGACAACAAGAACCGAAAATTCCCGGTCGTTGAAACGCGGCCCGTTCTCTTCCCGGGCACCACCGTGTCTCCTTTTTTCCGTTTCCTCCGTCGCGCTCCTTTTACAGTCCGCTCCACCTGCGCGCCCGCCGTCACCCCATTCACGATGACGATCACGATAATCCTGGCACCGACACAGGATCTCGCCTGCCCAATCGCCACATCCAGGACCACACCGAACACGGAGTGACACTTTTAAAACTTACGGCCGTCACACCGTGTATACCAGGCACACACTATTTGGGTGACGGTAACGGCGGCAGCGCGGTAACCAAGCACTCCGAACGGTACCAGTGTGAACGTAAGAGTGACACACACATGACCGACCAGTGATATCGCGTAGCGCGCACTGCGGGCGGACGGCAGGGAGGCATGGCTCCTTCCCGCGGCTCCTGCCCCCTCCCCCGCCTTCTAGTCCACCTCCCTCGCCGCCGCGTCCCTCCACCCGACGCCCTCTTGCTCCTCCACAGCACCTCCATCGCTCCCGCCGCGCCACGCCGCGCCTCGCAGCACCTAACCCGACCAGCAACCCGTGCCGCGCCGCGCCGCGCCGCGCCGCCACCGATACTCCCAACCCAACCCAACCCAACCCACAGACCTAACCCCCCTTCCCTCCACCCCTCACCCACTATTCCTCACCCTTCTAGCCACACATCTCACCACCGCCACCCTCCGTCTCTATCCGCTCTCTCATCTCTTCTCTTTTCTTCGTTTCTCTTCTCTCGTGTTTTCTCTGCTCTTCGCATCGCCGTTCGCCACGGCGCGGTGTCTCAGCGGCCGTTCTCTTGCATCGCTGCCACCCATCGCACACGCCGAGCGTGGGGTGAGAAAGTCTAGGGCCGTAGCACCGAACGACCGCGACCAAGGCGCACGGGGCCGCAATTCCGCGAGGAGGGAGCGTGGGGCTCAAGTGTCGACTCCGAGGGTTGCGTTACGAGGGCGGGTTCGGGGGATCAGCAGCCGCCTTCCACGGTCGCCGATAGCGACGGCTATCTTATCCTTTTTCCTCCAACTTTTCCACCGATTCGGACGTCGCACGGTGGGGGCCAGTTCCTTCCAAAATGCGGCTCAACGTCATTTTTTAACCCTCACAGAAATGTCTGCTGATCGTGCATTTGTTAAAGAAACACGACCTTTCTATGCAATGCTTCTTAGAACAACTTGTCAAGTTTATCGCTAGTCGCCGTTGAACTTGGAGTTTCGTCTTTGTTGCATCTTCAGGATAGGCACAAACTCCGTATTTACTCGGTTCTTTGGCGATGATTAATTGCGCGATAATGTGTCGCGCGACACGTTGTTGTTTCCGTCATTGTGCTTCGTTCTATTGTAAACTGCTTCGATGGTAAACTACGCTCTCGCCCCATGTTAGTTATCAAATTTTACATTAGCTCGAACGAACATGCTTTCAACGTTCGCGTTTGCGATGATTGAAATTTAGTAATTGTTATTCCGTCATAACCCTTTCAAAGTCAATAGACTGTTTGCCTTGGCCGTCTTGTATGGACAAAATAAAATAATAACACGTGAGATATTACAAGTCTTGGAGCGCGGAGGAAGCATGAAAATAATGCGTGTCTAAAAATGACATTATCCGTTGTATAAATTTCATTTTAATTCGATATTATAAAAATAACGTTACTTTTCTCTAGTTTGCGACAGTGTGTTTGTAGAGAGTTTCCCGATGTACGTCTAAAAATACTTAGAGACATCGTTCGCGAAGGGTTAACTTCCAAGGATACGACGTTTCTGTCCAAACATTCTGTTTTTGTTGCTTTTATCGATTATGATGCAATTACAACGAGAATATTGTTGATCTCTTGGATATTAATAAGTATTCTGTGCTTCTAAACACGGACAACGATCGTGTTAAAACAATTTAAATAGAGTAGATGATAATTAGAATTATTATGTATAGTGTAAATATACGGATAACATACAAATAGTGGTAATCGATATTTAGTCAGTGATATTCGAATACTTGGAAGATTAAAGTTTATTCGTTTAACGTTGGGATATTCCGCGGGTGTAATAGCAAAATATTCGAATAGAGCGCGTCGCGATCGCGACAACTTAATTCGTCCGATAGTTGCGCGCGAGGCTGGCGAGTGTTTGTACAGCCCTGGAGTCACGTGACGAAAACACGACGTGACGTCACACGCGCAGCAGCAGTCAGCTGCCAGTCCAACATGGTTGACCTGTGAGCAGCGGTGCTACGAACGGCCGTCCGCATTGAACGCTTGTTTCTTCCGATCGTGCGCGCCCCGTTAATCGCCGAGAACCGTTAATATGATATCCTCGATCGTCTCGCGACTCGTCATGTGAGTATTAAAATTCTATTCGGTGGAAAGCCGGGGGAAACAGTGCGGGGAACGAGCAGTCAGCTGCGCCTGGATGCTCGCCATCGTTGACCCAGGGTTGTTCGACACAATTTCTCGATTTACGGGTTCGTTTTATCCTGGCTTCTCTCTCCCGTGCATGATTATCGTCGACCGCGTACACTTGTCGTTTGGTTCTGGAAAACGAGGACCGTTCCGACGTCACCGGGGACCCCCCATCGTTCTCTTTTTCGTTCAACCCTTTATCGACGAAGAAAAAGGAAAAGCGGGGTGGCTGGTCGACGTTGTTCCGCGTAACAACGCGAATCGGATCGGAGGTGCAGTGTTTCCAGTGAAAAGTCGAACAATCGTACGCAATCTGCTGCTTCGATGTCGAAGAAATTATGTCATCGCGTCGTCGCAGCGCAACTCGCGAGGAAAGATTTCCATATTTGGTTGCGAGTTCCACGGCGAGGTTCGCACGATATTTTGCGGTCACGTTTGAAAACTGTAACGGTCGCTCGAACGAGAAGCAATCGATTCGTTGGTGAAAACGGTCAGTGAAGGGTACGTTGATTCTTGTGCGACAAGGGCGTTTCGAATAACCGTGGTAAACGAAGGTAAGAGGAAATGTTTTGTACGTATCCATATTAGGGGGAACGGTAAACAAGGAGATTCGGGGTCTCGGAGGACGCGCGAATTTACGTTGGGTACGAACAATTTCGTTTGGAAAGAAGTACGGTGTGTTTTGGTTCGATGGATTTCCGTGTAACATTAGTGCAATAACGATGGGATGTTATATCAGTGAAAGTGCATAATCGTCGGCGCAATAACCGCATCGTATAATACGCGATGCAAACCTAACCTAACTTGTAAGGTTTCGGGTTCCGACACCAGGCGCCTGGCCTACCGTTGCGGACGTACGCTCGAGTTGCCACACCTTGCGCATAATCCTCGACTTTCTTGATCAGTCGAAACTTGCTTCGAGCACAATTTAAATGTACGAAGCGCAGAAATCTTTGCATAAAAATTTTCTCCAAAGAAAAATCTTGTCCGGTAACCCTCCGAAAGAATGCTCGTTCTTAGGTTGGTCGTTTTTTGCGTTGCTTTGTGATTTCTTCGTATCCACGCAAGCACGACGTCAAAGTTCCAAGTACTATTTAGTCGATGCCATAATAGAACTTGTTCGAGTGCGTTTGGACACGTTCCATGTTCTGGATTGGCGTAGGTATGTTCTCTCGGTCTTTATTCTTCGTACCCATTTTCTACACAGCGTGCCGAGACCGTTTAAAAATAGCCGTACGCGATCGAAGGAGGATAAAACGCACTCCCTTTGGTTCGAGGGGAAGGAATCGTGTGCGTGGCCTTTTGTGCTATACCGAGCATTGTTGTTTCCGTGACCGTTGCCGTCAGCTGATCGAATACGTAGTGCCGCGTCACAAAGAGATACGAAAATTGACACGTTTATCTTATCTGTAGAGAATTATGGTTCGTTAGTCGTATCTCAGACCGCGGTTGTTCCAGGGATGTACTTGTACTTTTTATTTGTGGTTCGAAAGTACGAGGGGAAAATTTTCAATTGCAAGTAATCCACCGAAGCAGATAAGGCAGCTTCGAAGTACGCGCTCGTGTTAGTTTACGTAACGTTACATTGTAAGAGGTCCCATAAGATCTTGCTCGCATTTTACTCGTGAAAGTTTCAAATTCTATAAACTGTTCTTTCGAAGCGACACTGCCAAGTCGTAGCGGTTTGATTCTATTTCTCCAAGCTGTGTTACGTTTTTTGTGGTACCGCGTCACACGTTGCACACGTGGTCTTAGAGAACGCTCTTACGAGTAAAATTGAAACCGAGAGGTCACAGACGAACGTCTCGTGCGTCAGCTGATTGAGACGCTACGTCGCATCGATGGAGTGCAAATATGTTCTCGATGGCGTCGTTCGTTCTCTCGTTGATCTCCGTAACCTAAATTGGATTTAGCTTTCGAACAAAATTAACGCGATATGATATAAACGCTACTAATGGGATATAATATACGTATATAAATTTCACAGCGTATACTTGTTCCGGTGTGAAAAATTGCAAATAGATTATTCGTAGGCCATAGTATTGGACTAAAACTAACAGCGATACATATTAATAACAAGATGTAGATAAGGGGTATCCTTCTGAGTCACGCTGTGTTATAGAATGTTAGTTATACTTGTCGATAACCTGAAAATTACGGAAAAGCGATCGAGCATGTAGTTAAAAAGGATATTTTTTCTTTGAAAATAGGACATTGACTCGAGCTTGAGCTATGCAAATTGTTCTTCAATTGTATGAACTACCCTATAGGGGGGGTATAAATATAGAGAATCTTAAAAATAGTAACTCTTCGATACGTGCCTAAAAAGGCATATATGTATTCATGAGACTGGTATCTAGACAGCCAACACTCTGGTTCGTGTAGTAGGTGCTTAGACTTACCCGGTCCACCTTTCCGTTTGGCCTCGTCGAAGTTCTGTAATTTTATATATATGTATACCCAGGATGCATAGACTTTGCTTACAAGCAACTAATGTTTTTCTCTTTCAATGGGGGGTGCGATACTTGTCACAGGTTTTCTAATGGACCCGAACTCGCACACGGTCACTACACAAAGGTTTCTCCGTAGAGAGAAAGGCTATACAGCGGTCTAAATCACGAAAAAGATTCGGTAAAAAGCGCGCTAACATCGAGTGATTGCGAAATACGACCTTGTCGTTTCGCGAGCAGTTGCACAGACTGTCCGTGGTACATGCTTCCTTTCGTTTCCCGTACAGTTGTACAGAGCACACGGTAAAACTTTCATCCAAACAGGAAGCCGAGAATCTGGCGTCCAGTTCATCGCAAATAATTCTTTTGCGTTCGTGTATGGATCATTGTTAAGATTATGAAAGATCCTCGCGTTCTAATAATTCATATCAACGCGTAGGTATAGTCTTGGTCGTCGCTGTATCTTTCCACTATAACTCAACGTACTCCGATGACTAAACGAG